TTTTCTATTGTATGATTGTAGTATATCCTCCGAATTTTCTTTTTGCAATAAGCGAGAATGCTGTTAACGACACTTTAGTCACCTTGCCAGAGTGATAGTATAAACTATTTCGTATACATATATACACATATACTTAATTTTCAAGACTTTTGATGATAGAGAACAGCATTGAAGAGATTTATAAAGTTGTCAACATAAGTGTCTTTAGAAAGAAAATAAATAACATTACGTATCTACTTCGACTCGATCAAAATTCAGACGTCTTTGAGCGCGTAGGAGAATAAAGTTGTACTATTGATCGTTCATTCTAAAAATGTAAGCAACTATTAAATTTACAATATATATATAAAGCAAAAAAAAAATTAATTGATTTAGCAAAAGTTAACAGTAAAATTAAGTCATTACGTATCAGTTTTTGAGCACATAAAGCACATACTAACCCTTGGTTCATATCACGCTTGGTGTCATCAAGTCAAAAACGCGTACCACTGCGTGGTAAAACGCGTCTGCATACCATTGCCCTCGCGACACCATTGATTACTTTTTATCCATGTTAGCATTTGTACGTTTGTAAAGACAACGACGAAAACAATATAAGGAGCTAATACGATCTCACAGCTGCTTTAGACTCGATTTAATGTAGTATTTTTACTTAACAGTAGCAGCAAAATACTTACCTACAAGAGACAGGTCTTGAAAAGTGTCTAAATATAGTTAAGAAAATAGGAGTACATGTAGTAAAATACTTAATCTTATCGTTGAGTTAGGCATAGCGACTCGGAGTGCCTCCATGGCTCTATCGTGCTGTCGAAATATATATATATATATATATGAAAGAAAGTCATAGGTATGCATATACATACATTTCTACGTCATGAAAGTGCCCCGGGGACTCCGTAATCTTTAGGCCGAACAACACTGATGTCACGCGCCAAATTGAGCCATACATTGAGAATGGCTTTCCTTGATACAGACACTTTTGTTGAAAAATAAAGTATTTATTCGTTCCAACACTTTGTAATAAATTACAACTATAATAAACACTACACTTTACCACTTACCTTTTTTGGAGCTACTACAAATAAAAGATCGTTACAGAGTCTATATCATTTACCTCGTAATTTACTGTGTTCGTTGCACGTACTCAGAACAAACGTTATCTTTGCAATAATTAGAAATACTGACAAGATTTTAAGTATTATTACCGTAATCACCACATTCGAATTTATAACCCACAGCTATAGCATATAATATGTATGCAAAATCAAACTGAGAGTAATTTATAACTTGAAATGGACATATCTTGGCAACGAAAGCAACTATCGCATACAGCTGTAGGGGTGCCAAAATCTTCCTTTTTTGGCATACTTTGATTTCTCGCTGTATTCATACGGCATCGGATATTTCAAGCATATACTAAACAAATGACGCTGTAAAACATGAAAAAGTTTCATAATGCACCCTCGACACAACACATGGGTGATGTTTTATCGATAGATTCGCGCTGAATATCATATTAGTATACCACCGTGTGGGTGTGTGTTATCCACGTGCACTCTCTCTTCACCTCTAACGTGCCCTTTTTGCATATTAGAAATTAACTTTCTCCACTTAATAGAGTCTTTACGAGTTTTACAAGATTTATAGGTACGTGGCCTTGCAATATCTCGGAGAAATTGCACGACTCTAAGGTCAAATTGAATTATGGTTAATCATCTTGTAACAGTTGGTGTTTTTTTTCCCTCTTTACGTAATTTATATATACGTACATATATACACATATTTTAGGTGGATAGGTAGAGGTATACGCAAACAAGTGGGCCGTGATTTATCGTGTGCTGCTGAATGCATGCAGAGGGCTCACACGGGGTGCACCCACCATAGCACGGCATCGCTCGCCTGACCGTTGTTGCCGCACGGACACGTAATGCACCGTACCAATTTTCACGTGCAGTATTTTCGATTAGAAAAGTGCACGCTGCACAACTACTTGGTTCCGGACTTGAAAAGCTTACGTGTTATACCCATCCGCGTATACGTATACATGTATACCCGCCCTCCCGGCTATCGCTAATGGAATAAGCCGGTTTTCCGCCCATTGTGTGTATGTGTGTGTAACTAAAAGTGTTCCGTCAAACGGCAAATGGTTTTCTACTGTATACGGTCGTTTCTTGCCTCGCCAACTCCGCCCCTACTTATCCTTTCTCTCCAAAACCCCCCTTCGTGTCTTTCCCCTTTTTCTATCTTGGCCATTTTTCCTTTTCTTCTTTTCTTTTAAGCTTGATGGCGCCTTAACCGCGTCGACGGACCTATTTTCTCAAAAAAAGAAGTACAAAACAAGATTCGTCACAGTAAAAGATTACACGGATTGATATATACGTATTACACAGATACGGGGAAAAATGTCTTAGGCTTACATAGGTACAAAGAATATCTTGTTACTTGTCAAAGTGAGTTGGAAAAGTTAGGGGCCGTAAATAAAAAAAAAAATCAAAACGTCATACCATTAATCAAACAACATTTATTTGATTAACGATACACGTTAGTTTGAAATGAAGTAACGAAACAATTGAAAGCTCAAATCTGAGCCCCGTTAAAAAATGGTAATCAGGTCAATGTCCTTATGGGCTATTTTGATTGGGATTGAAAACTCGATGATTTCATCGATAATCGAAGAAACTATGAAATTTTCAAACCAAGTTTGAACCTCCCGTAACTTTTCGTCGGCCCGTAGTTTTTAATAATTCAAATTGAAGCGCGTTCCAAGTACCCTTGATTGATTTCCAATGGAATAATATATTGTAACTTCGTTCCAAACTGAGTTATAACCGATGGAATAAATCCTTGATTTTATCGAGAGAAAAAAAAATGGTCTTTCAGAGTTGAAACAAAGGGTAAGCCATGGGGTCAACACGTTCGACCAGACCAAGCAAAAGACGACAGGACGTATATTATTTTTAATCCGTACGAAGCTCGTTCCACGTGTACATAAAAATCAGGTATCTTATTAATCTCGGCCAGATGTATATATAGGTACACATATGATATTCACGTGTATATGTCGTGTAGTATGGAGGCATACATTAGATGCGAAAGCGAGACAAACTCGTCGAACGCATGCACGCGGTAGTACGACATGGCCCACACGGCAAGTTGGCGAGGCGAACACGCGTGCTTGCACAGTTGCTGTCGGTACCATTGTTCACGCATATATATATGTATGTATGTATGTATGAAACCATATAGCGTAGCGATGTTCAACGAAACGTTGTACCAGAGAAAGTTGGGAGGGAGTAGCAAAAGGGAGGGGCAGGTGTGGAGGTGGAAACGAGGGTCTGGGAAAGGGATGATGGGGTCGCGCTGGCAGCAGCGAAACGGGAAACGGCCGCACGGAGGCACAACTTTTCTAATTAATGATAATTAGTTCAGAAGTTTAAGCCCGAGATAACGAATAACTCGCTCGTCCGTATGCAAATAGTATTCAATATCTGCTGATGGGCACGGGCACGAACACCACCACCACCACCCCCATGGTACGCGTAAGCACGAGCAAGCACTTTTTTTTCTTCTGTTTTTTTACTCTTTCTTTTTTTCTTTTTTGAGGAAAGAGCAGCAGTTAAGATAGCGAAAGCCCTACAAGCCGCAGCAATATTTCCATACATACGTATATATTATATGCACACACACACATGTATATAACTATATTACGTATACGGAGGGATCTTTCTTCCCGTACTCGAGTGTCTCTCTCTTTCTCTTAACTGCGTGCGTCCCCACAATATTTTTAACCACGCCACTCGAAAAGTTATTCCGTATAGGACTTTGATTTATTTGTTTGGACATTTTTGCTCTTCCCCCCACCCCCCTTATGTTTAATTCCTGCTGTTGGTATCCATTTTTACGATTTGGTATATACACCCACTGTACACAATCATTGAGTCAAATGTCAAACGCAGGCGCGTTCAATATGCAGTGGACAAAAAACAACGCGAAACGTCACAAGAGGTATATATGCACGTATAATCAAAACTATGCGTGCATGCGTATATATGTGTGGCTTCGCGGAGAGAGTGGAGCCAATATGTATGCGAGAGAGTCGCCGGTGAATTTATATCTGATGGACTGCCCGAGAATATGATATCGTCCGATCCCCGTGAATAGTCGCATAGCCGCGGGCTATCGCAGCTGCTGATATCGTTATCTCGCTCGCATATATGCACACACACACACACACATATATATACATATATATATACCACTGCAGCAGCTGTCACGCTTCCCGTGCCGCGCACAGAGCGTATAGCTTGATGGATTTTATTTGTTGGTTGTTGGTTTTTTTCTTTTTTTCCTTTTACTGCGACAAAAATTCACCCTGCCAACTCGCGTGTTTTGGTGCTGCCTCTGATGGCATTCCCCCCCCCCACCATTCCACTTTTTCTAGAGTATGTGTATACGCTTGTTTGAATAGCATATCCTATTGCGGTTTTGTAAAGGTCCGGTTGGCGGTATAGGAGATAGCCATAGGAGATCTAAATTTTTCAGGTCACAGTGCGCACTAGATTAAATCAACATCAAATGTGCTCATATAAGTATACATATGGGTATACATGTATTTCATCAAGGTGTAAACTGCTCGCCTGTTGGCAGTCTTTTATTATCATCTGGTGTATACACGTGTAGGTATACACGCAATTACGTGACCTCGGTCATTCCAAAAAAAAAAAAAAAAAAAGGATATCAACATAGGTATACATATAAAAGCTCAAAGTATTGGCGTTGCGTGATGGGACTCGTTGACGAACACTTTTACTACTCGAACGAAAATAATTATTTATAAAAAAATTACCATCGCTTATGATATACGTATACATTCCTGTGACGATAAACTTATACATTCATACTGATTTTAATTTTTTAATGTATACATGTGTAATTTAACCACTTTGATTACAATATTAGTAAAAAAAAAAAAAAAAAATGATTTCCTTGTATTGTTTCAGAATGGCAACTACGTGAGCGAAAACGACAACGAAGGCCTTGGGATCTGCCCTTATAGCCCGCATCACAACAGCACCTCCGTCTTTGCCGGTAAGTCCTCGAACCCGACAGGTATACCTAACGAGAGCCTCGTTACCCCGAAGTAATTGTCCCCCTCCGTTTAAGCTCTGCTAAGTCTTATTCTCCGGTCATTGTTACGTTCGCACCGTGCTTATATACATTATTTTTCTTTTTTCACCTGTTCCTATGTACCTCGTGTACTATTCACGCAGTTTGTGGATAATAATAGTTGTCGCTCGACCAACTCTGGGTGTACCTGTACAATATACGTATGAAGAAGAATAAGCTTTTTGACTCCGTCACGCGCGTGCTGACGAAAAAAAAAGAGCCGTATAGCTGCAACTAAAGTGGAGCACGTATCCAATAAATACATAAGTGTACGTATATATATATGCACGTATGGCCCCTCGTATCCAAGTTAACGTCGGAGAAGGAGACGCTCGAGCTCCTTTTCGCGGCTGTCGGCTGGTCACAGCCCTTTTTACGGGTGTACATGTGTGTATATATATATGTGTGTGTATATGTGTGCACACCCACGTGTACTTTTTGTCGTCTCGGTGTGCAGCAGTCGCGGCTTTCTGTCCTGAGCCCTTTTTACGAGCTCGTTCGTCCTCCGTATATAGGTACCAAGGGAGCCAAAAGTCTTTACACCAACTGGGCCATGTATACATGTATGGATATGGATAGAGCTCCCCTTCCCTACAATTTTTTCTTTTTTCTTTTCTGAACGTGACACTTTTTACAAGCCCCCATATCGACCTCCCTGACTAAGTCCTGCACCCATAGGTGCACACCTATGTCGCAATGTGTACCTCGTGATACACGTGCATGTACGTACAGTCCGTGATCTAATAATATATAACAGTAGGATACAAGATGCATCAGCTACAATTGTCTCCCTCGGGCAGGTACGCTGATCGTGTAAAATTATCGTACACGTGATATTTAACGGATTACTTCTAATTGAAAATGTACGAGCTAATATAGGAGTCGATAACGATATGTAGAATATGTGTGTGTCTGATATATTTAACATCCTGTCGAGATATACTTACATACGAGTATTTACACGTAACTCGAGTAATTTGTTGGAAAGGGTGAAATTGATTACCACACGCCAGAGTTGACGAGACCTCATATATGTAGTTTATTGTTAAAATAATCTTGCATCCGGCCTAGTTTTTGGAATTTCATTAAATGTCACAAGCGCCGAGAACACGATACATCTTGATTTATCGGTACCTATTTTGGAAGCTTATTAGAAATACATATCAGTGCCCAAGATCTTCGTTCAATATCGTAGCATAGATATACACGTACAAAGTGCATGTATGATATTTATTGCAGATGGTCAACTGTACGCGGCGACGTTTTCTGACCTGTCGGGCGGCGAGCCCCTAATTTACAGAGAAAACATCCGCACCGAGCGCTCGGACTTGAATCAACTCAACGGTAAGGAATCTCCACGAGTGTCATACCATTACGTACAATTAACAAGCGTATACATCTCCATGATTGTAAGGATGAAGAGAAAAAAAAAAATTTGCTCGCACCGTTGGATAATTTTTACGTACCTATATGTAAACACTACAAGTTTATATGGTGTTTTGAAAATGAGACGACTCGAGGAAAATTAATTTTTTTTTTCTCTTTTAAGTGACCATCAAACATGAAAAAGTATCGTCGGGTTGTTGTTAATCGGTACACGAAACTTTGGCTTTTCAGGTCCAAACTTTGTCAGTTCCTTCAGCTACGGCGACTACGTGTACTTCTTCTACCGCGAAACCGCCATGGAATACATGAACTGCGGCAAGGTAAACGCTCATTGTATAAATTTATTTGCCAATAATCATACACCAATGCATATATCTCACGCGATTAGTGTATATCTATGATTAAACCAGTGCAAAAAAAAACTATAACTATAAAGATCGGGGCTTCCGTTGATTTGCAGACCGTGTATTCGCGAGTGGCGCGAGTTTGCAAACACGACAAGGGCGGACCTCGTGCGTTCAGCGACAGGTGGATGAGCTTCCTGAAAGCCAGGCTAAATTGCTCGGTACCCGGTGATTACCCCTTCTACTTCAATGAGATCCGTAAGTACATGTATACATATACATAATTCACAGCTCTCTTGTACCTACACACAACTACACACACCCACACGTACACTATTATACCCACATAGGTGTTTACTCGTGTACAGCTTTATGAAGGGATATGGTAACTCTATACGCAATAGGTACCTTACGACGCGTTAATTACTTTAATTACTCGTTCTTCGATGGTCTAATAACAATCCTGTATCGATAATTGGTAATGGAAAAATTGTAATTGCGTGAGTTTTCCATCCACTCGTGCTATAATTGCATTTTTGTCCAAAAATCATGTATCCCTCCTCTTATCTCGTTGAACGTCGAACCATCTCTTTTTTCCCCGAATACAACCCCTCACCATTGTTTCGTTCGAGCAAGTCGATCGATTAAACACCGAGTGGCCATTAAATCAAACGTACACAGTTGATAAGTATACGCGATGGTATTTTGCCCCTTTCGTGCTTTTGAGCCCACTCTTGATGGGGAACAAGATAGGTGTGTGTGTATATAGGTAACGCACTCGGGGAGCAGGTACGCAGTAACACAAAGTGTATTTTATTGCGCGTAAAAGAGGCACGATCTCACTCGCCTCCTCCTATGGAATTGGCAAGATGTACCGCCATAAATTCCCATAAGGTGGCGAGCCCTGAAACCAGAAGGGGGGGAAGCTCTGGACTAAGTCACCCCCGATATATATGTATAATACTTGTGTTACATAGTGATGAAAATCTCAAGCTCCAATGTTACCCACCAATACTAGTTTTACTTACGCCTTTGCGCATCAAAAGGTATATGGCTGTATGAAACCAACCACCCCGACTTTATCCCTATAATATGTTCTTACGTACAAAGACGACATATGCTACCCACTATGGTATTCATGACGAATTCGTTCGAGACGTACGTATATGATTATATACATGTGCTGCTTATCAAAGTTTTATGAGATTTGATTGGCGACTTCTGACGTTTTCCACCGAATCGAATAACTTGTTTGATATTCCAAGGGGCACGTTTGGAACGAATCCATCAACGCTGGCACCATGAGGAGTGCGTGCACACTGGCACAAAGACGGAAAAGCGCGCACACAGAGAGAGCGAGAGAGGGTAGCACCGTTGCCGCATATGCAGGTGTGCGGGGGTATATATATATATGGCGATACCGTGCAACCTGTCTCCTCCGCAATTTCGACTGGATGTGTTTCATGCATACAAAGCACGCATAACTATAAATCCGCGACTCCTGCGAGGCTCCACCGCCTTATACCTTCCTCCTCCTCCTCTTTGTCCCGTATCTACTTTATTTTAATTAACCTGCCTGCCTCGCTGCTTACATATTTGACTTGTTACTTGTCAATTTCGTGTAGTACTTGCTCCTCCGTCGTTTCAGCTTAGGTGTAGCATTGTTGCAAACTTTTACCCAACTCCCCTCGTCCAGGAGGGATCTGTCTGGCACTTCATTTTTCAAGCTCTCTTCCGTGCATCAGATCGTGAAGAAATTGTTTTATACACCTTGGGCTTTCATGAAAATGCAACACCGTGATATTTCCTTTTTTTCCGTACAATCCTTTGATATGGGTGTCAAATAAATGCACCTCACTATATAATATATATGGTAGGATATGCGACAATAAGGCGATGGCATACTGAATTATCTGTTTCCATTGAAACTCCCTTGATACAACAACGTGCATAAAAATACGTCATTTGCTAATGTGTAACATCTGTTCATGATAAATGTTTCACGTTACTACATTTCTACGTTATTTCATTGGAAATAAGCATCAAAAAAAAGTAATAAAAATAATTAAATAATACATTTTATTTCTGATCGAAGAGAAATTTTATTTCTCCCACTTTTTCGTTAAATAAATATGATTTTGTTTAATAAATTTTATTTATACTCAAGTATATCACGCATTAACCGATTCAACTTTATTATAAATACTTGATCGGAAAACAATAATAAATCACATTTGCGAATGATATCGGTACTGGAAGTGCATCTGAATAGTTTAAGCAACCGGATACATTGTGCGGAGTATAAATACAATGGAAAAAAAAAAAAAAATGAGTTTCGTATTTGGATTATTGGTTGGAATTGACATCGAGTCAATCGAGAGGATATAAGCATATTGGGAACTACAGGGTGGACGTGTATAAATATACCCACGTAGGTAGACAGTCGAAGCAACGCGACAAGAAACCACGAAGAAAAAGCACAAAAATGAAACTGGTATGTATACGTATGAGGGTGGTAACCCAGAAAAAGACCCTAGCGAAGACGTTTATTTGAGTTACGCGAATTCCCGTTCGTTTTGGCACATGTTTCGCGTTATCCCGTGGATGGGACCAGCATGCTACATTCAGTCCCTATACATACTTACACTATTTCAGCGAACTTCAAGCATATATATATATACCCATGTACCAATGCATATCCTCGTGGAGAGTATACATGGAAAGAGAGAGAAATGAAATGGATGGTGGAAGGTGGCATTGTACGTATATATATGTATATAGGTAGTACTTACTATGTAGGGGAAAGAGCTTGGCTCTTTGAAAGCTGACGCTGGCTCGGGGCCAGATTGCCAGCCAGGCTATACATAGGCATGTCTGCGTAAATGTATATAACTGTATACCCATGCACTCCCTGCGTTAAATATAGACGTAGACACCACGACACTCTGGAACTATAACAGCTGCCCTCGACTATCGTCTCTCGTTGTTGGGGTAGTACCCGTCTATATGTACATCCTGTGACGTATAAAAAACAATATTGGCATAAAATACGTGCCCGGTACCTAACTGTCCTGTCCATACACCAACAACGTTATAACTTGTTTGGTGGCTGCAGCCTGCAGAGGAGACAAAGTGTATGGGTATCGGATGGCCGGGGATTTTCGGTCCAATGAATCGACCCATCGACGTCCGTGGCAGGTTTCCGCGCGCGTAACCATCGCCAATATGGTTCAATATATACATATATCTTACACTTTTGTCTCTCTCTTCCTCGGTATTGTACTGTATCTGCGTTAAATATGCATGGACGAGTCGAAATCTTCAATAAAATTATCAAGTGGAAGAAACCAACGCTGCCATACCATCCAACACGGTCATTCTTGTCTTTGGGCTTATGGATACGCCATCTGAAATATATATATATATTATTTGTGTGAAAAAACTGGCTGTACAAACAATTTGGTGAAAATTACAATGTACGACAATGTAACTTGGCTCGGAAAAAAGTGCAAGCAATTGAAAGCGTCGAGAAGGAGCTTTCGTTTCAATTTAAATTTTAACTCTTAAGAAACATGGATAAGATCGTAATTTATGTATCGCGCAACGATTTTTTTTTTTTTTTTTTATTTTTTTATTAATTTTGTTCACATTAACTCACGATTTTGCTCAAAAGTGCTCGAAACGAGCCTTAACTTTGAGCTCCCGTGGAATATAAAATGCTAATCAGATCAAAAGTAACGGGCTATTAAAGTCAGTGGGTAAGTTTTCACATGAATGAAAAGTTTCGTGTTTCACTCGATAGTCGCTGAATCTATAAGCTTTCAATTTCTTGCTTTTTCGAGCAGACATGCATACGTATACATATACTCTCCAACTTTATTCAATCTCAAGTTACAAACGAAATAGTGCAGCCTTCATTTCCAAAATTTTTTTTTTTTTTTTTTTTTTTTTTTTT